GAGAGATAGGGAATATGCAAAGATTACAGGGACCCCTCCAGCTCACTATACTTTCATACTCACGATACTTGCATAAGGTTAAAGACTTGATTTTCCTTGAGAAGTCTCAGCTCAGGCTTGCTCCTCTTGGTAGACTGTACATAGGGATAATGGACATGAAAATAACGACTACTGAAGGGATTATATAAGGCTTAATATGCGGGTTATATAGGGGGTTAACAACACAGGAAATGAAAATGGAAACTGCAAAAGGATATTGGTAATAATGGAAAAAAAAGGAGGAAACTACTATAGTATATTGGGGTATTAGGTTTAATACGGCGAATGGAAAAGAAAATGGAAACTGCTGCCGTTTTGAGAGACCTTGGGTAAAGGTAGGCTAGTGGCTTTTGGGGTCCCTAGAAAGGATTATGTAAGGCTGATTTGGAGAAACTACCAGGAAGTAAAGTGAATGATGACGTTTCCTCACGAGACTTAGTACGCAAGCCTTTGCAGGTCTAGGGTTTAGGGCTTAGGGTTCGGCATTTTCGGATTTTCCAAGTGACCAACAATTTCGAGAAGCTCTGTCTTCAAGCAACTGAGGCAAGGGCATGAATAGATATCCGTGGGTCAGAGACGTCGGTCCTCAGTAGACTATAACCCCAACATATACCCTATTATGATATAGTTGTTTCCTCTTTCTCTTCCATTATCCCTATATATAACCCGAAGTATATACCCCATATTCTACACCTCAAGGCAAGTAGCTCCGAAATTACAGGCTCTATATCTGCAGGCAAACACCCTAGAATCCGATTTAGGGTTATATTGAGATAATGGAAAGAAAATGGAAACTACTATAATAGTTGATATAATTATAAGCTAGACACCCTCTGAGGATTTATCATTTGAATGCCCGTGTGTGTGGGTGTTTTGGGGTCCACAACGCGGAGTTCTATCAGAAACAAGAGTGTTGACAGGAGTTTTCATTTGCGTGTGTGAAGTCTTACAACCGTTCGGGTGTGGAAGTGGACACATTCGCCGGGATTTCCGAAATAGCCAGTAGAGCCAACGGTAGTGGATGTTTGTCGCTCCCGCTAACATGGGGTCCAAAAATCTTGAGATCGCAAGTGCTAGCAAGTAGGAGAGCACAAACAAGCCAGACAAGAACCATGGGGGCTTTGGCAGATGTCCTCCCACTAACGGCAATGTCCAGAAGTCTTGTCTGACGTCTTGACTCGATGGTGCTGAAACCGAACCCCACAGCATCATTCCCTCCTGGGTTGCCCAGAGTTGTCCTCTGTGCATCTGAATCCTGCTGCAACAAAGGCAGAAAAAGCAGCGCTGAACCGTACATCCAAGAAACCCCAGATCCGAGAAAACGGTGCGATAATTCCATGCACAGCTGCAGAATACTCCGCCAGACGCCCTCGAAGAGGCAACAGTTCTCAACCCCTCCCAATAACTCCCAACAAGAATCTTTGCTTGCAGGAATTCAGTACGAGAATTCTAGCTTCGACAAAAACATGCCCAGCTAGTCAAGCTTCCCGAAGCGCTCGCTGTACGGAAGCTGACGCTCCAGGACCTGCCAACATGGGGCCGAGATACCCAGCATAGCTCAATCCTGACACAAGGCAATGCCATGAACCATACCCTGGCTTCCATACACTCATCTGACTCAGCTTTCAGGGGCTAGCAGGGTGACAAAGGGCATCGGCGTATGAAGCAAGAGAGGCCTCGTACATTAAGATGCCGAAGGAAAAGACGTCGGCCTTCCTTGGCACAGTCTTTGGTCCATCTCAGGCGTCTGGAGTACAATGAACCAGTATGTCACAAAACAAACCTTCAGGATAGACTGTTTTGTGAATGCTGCTTGACCTGGAGACCTGCATAAGAGCTTGGGACCCTCACTTCTGCATGCGAAAGCTCGACATTCTGAATTCAGTACGCACAGCACACCACCGTCTGAGCGTCACGCAAATTGTATGGTTCAGGGTCGCCCTCAGCAGAGCTAAAGACCTGCAAAAAAAGGTGTTCGAGGCGAAACAATCATGCTTGTTGTCCAGCTGATGCTTCGTCTCATACCATTTGAACCCCTTCGCTACGGCTGTCACTGCCTAAAAATGGGGAATGCGAAATCTGCATTCCATCCTCCTGTTGGTCTCTTTTCCTGGCAGCTCTCAGGACCTGAAATAAGGACAAAAGGAATTCTGCTTCGGCATTTTGCATCCCGCGGCTACAAGTCTGCGAATACTGCCTTCAACAAGTCAACGGCATAAGTCGCACATGGGTAGCTGAGACTGAGACTGGTAACACAGCTTCTGCTGCTTTCTTCAGAAAGGAACTGGAAGCTGTCATGAATCTTTTTCAATGCTGGGCAGGCGGCCAGGGTTGTGGATCTTGCAGAAACCACAATGTAAACAATCAGCGAAACATGGGGCTCAGCCCCAAACAATGCATGGCCTAATTAATGCATTCGAAAGAGCACACGGCACCTCTCTGGGTTCAAACCCAATCGGAGATCCCTAGGTGGGACTGCCGAGATGGTCGTACTCCCATTCATGGCAGGCTTCCTAAACTGGCAGTATAGTAGTTTCCATTTTATTTTCCATTATCCCAATATAACCCCAATATGACCCTAATATACTATAGCACTTTCCATTTTATTTCCATTATCCCAAAAGACAGGATACCTGTGGTGCGCTGCCTGGAGCACGAGCACCCAACAAAAAAAAGAAGTATCAGCCTCAACAAGGCTGGTGTCACAATAAGTGTCACAAGGCAGCAGCAAGGCAAATCATGACTCAATAGGCGCAACAACAGAAAGAAACATGGCAATAATCATCATCATCATCATCAACAACAACAACAACCACAACCACCCTCCATCTCTGCGCTATTTCTTGGACTTCATGCTCGTCTTCTTCACAGACTTGCTCGCGCTTGCGGGGCGCTTCTGAGTCGATGAAGCTTTGGCGCCAGGGGCTATGAACTCCTTGCTTGGCTGTTTCTTGGGGAAAAATATGTGCGTGAAAAAGCTGCGGTGCTTTTTAGGGTTTGCCGAACTTAGGGGTCGGTTTTAGTTCACTCAAGGTTCAGGCTCCACTTGGGGGTCAAAGGGGTCGAATGGTTGGGTTTGAAGGGGGTTTGCAACTTCTGGATGTGCAGGGATGTCCTGTTGAACTGCGGTCCAAGCACCAGAGATGAGAGCTTACCGTAGGCATCAGTACAGTCACAGCAATGACATATCAGCTGAAATGTGGCGGAATAAAGACTGCGGATTGTGAATCTGTAAGTAGCACCAATGGTAGCCTACAGATCCAATTTCCAATGGGAATCTGGCGCTCTGCTCTGGGTTGGTCTGTGCATCTGGCAAAACCTTCAGCCCTTTACCCGCCCTTTGCCATCCGCTGGCCGCCTCTTCTTGTGCCAACTCCCACGCCTACACGTCTCATGAGAATCCGTCCTTCACGGCAAATGCCTTCTTCATCAACGCTTCCAGGGCTGTCAGGTTGACCTCGTTTTCAGATTTACAAATCTGCACGGTCCATGTGCTAGACGTTGGGCTAAGACTTTGGGGTGCATGGCTGAGGATTCAAGGTTGAGGGCATGGGCAGGCTTCCTGTGATGCTTGCGTCAAGGCTCACATATAACGGGTGTGCAATCTAACCGAGTCCTCTAGCTCCTCAGCGTGAGGATAAGTACATCTTGTTGTGCTCAGGGTTCAAGGCTTGGGGTTCGGATCCTCAAGAACCTTTGGCTTCTCAGTTTTCGGAAATTTGGGTTCCTTGGCATGCGGGGCCGCTCACGCTGGCATAGAAGGATTTTCATGCACCCTGACTTCTCAACCGCATATGACTCAAGGTTTCACTCCAAATGTCGGATATCGACTGATACGATGTCGACTTAGATGCTGCAGCAGGACTTCCAAAAATACCGATAAGCGAGTCAAGAAAGAGCTTGGACCAAACACCCTGATAACACAAGGTGTGGGGTCGGAATCTCATCACTGATCGGCCATTCTAATGGCCGAAAATAGGACCGATTGGAGGATTGCTTTCAGAATCATATGAGACCTGCTGTAGAACAATAGAAGCAGAAGTGGCGACAGCTGACGCGAACGCGACTAAACAAAACAAAACAACGAAGCATGACCCAGCCTCGAAGCTAGTCTGTCAACAAACTCCAAAAACTAATACTTGGAACCATCTTTTTTATAAATTTGTCCAGAACAGGGGCGCCTTCGTTGACAGCTATCAAGACGTGTTTGAAGCACAAACTGTGTTGAGCCCCGCAGCTTCCCACGTTAACACGCTTGGTGTCAAAACAAAAATGGAGGGTCCAAAATGGAATTACTGTTTGGGGTGGCTTCGAGTATCCCCAACCGCTCAGACAGCTTTCATCCATGTTCACTTTCTACGGCCACAAAGAATGGTTTCAAATAATCTTCACGCAGACTTCAAGCAACACAAGCAAAGTGACCTTCACTAAGAAGCAGTGGTAAGATTTCAAAGCAGCCCTGCAACGCTAAGAACCTGCCAAGTAAGGCCCGTGCCCCCTCAAGGCTTTTGAAATGGAGACAGCCCACTCCGTGGGTGCATTTGGGTCCGATTTGCTTGACCACCTCTGCCACATGGAGACTGAGGAAATTTGCCTTAGCCTAGGAAGGCCTCCCAAACTGTGCCAAAAGTATTTGGGCTTGGGAAGGATCATGGGGTAATGATAAGATCTGACAGGCTGCAGCATCAGTGGAATAACTAAGGCTGCAACCGGGGTTAAGGTTTAGAAAACATTCTGGGATTGGGGTGCGGAACTCAAGACTCATGTTGTGCCTAAGGCAATGGTGGATGAGGACGAGATCTACAACCCAACATAGGACTCAATAATCATCCAACATTGGCTCCTAGCAAAACCAGGTGTTCTTTACAGCGGCCGAACAACCTCCAAACAGAAAGATGCTGTAAAGAGGGCCAATACTTCGCCACGACACAGAAAATCTACGAGGGAAACACCAAGAACAGTTACAGCAACAATAAACAAACACTATCGCAACGAGCACGACCACAACGCAGACAAGCAAGACCGCGGCCACGACCACGACAGCGGACAATCACAATGACGACACACACCGCATCGGTATAGCGGCGGCAGTTGCAGCCGCCTCCACCTATAAGAACACCACCACCCATCACGCCAACACCAACACCGTGACCTCGGCCGCCAACACCAGCGGCAGCAGCAAGCAGCAGCAAGCAGCAGCAAGCACAAGAAGAGTGAAAGGTCAAAGAGAAGAAAGAGGCCTGGTTGCTGAGCTTGAAGATGCACCCAAAGTACATAGTGATGTTGCTGGCTCGCGCAGCCATGCCGCACTGGAACCAGGTGTAGGGCTTCTGGCTCTTGCTTTGGTAAAGCCTCTACTGTTCACGGCTTGCGTTAGGGTGACTGTTGGATGCGTCTTGGAAGAAAGGTTCAGCATACCCTGATGGGATCCCCATTGTCATTGTTACTGCGCAGCTATACTTTTAAAGCAAAGAATTGGGGAGCACACGCTTCAATTTCAACCGGGCAACATCTTGCCAGCTCCAATGATGCTTCCCCCATAGACGTGTATCTCCTTGGAGTGCTTCTTCAAGATGGCAAGGATCTTTGTCATGTCAGCTCCTTGATTGCTTGATGGCCCATTGATGACTGCTCTTGTCTGTGTCTTCTTGGACAATTGTGCAACTGCTGTTGCATGAAGTCGGGTGGTTAAAGGACCCCTTCTCCAAATTCACAGTCATTTTGGACACGTCTAGCAAAGTCTAGCAGGAGCATGTTTAGGGCCCCCATCTAGCCTATGCTGGTGCCGAGGCATGGCCATTGCCGCGTTCCCCTGGCTTGTCCAGGACATGGCTCTAATCCCGTTCAGGTGCTTCATGGTACTTCGTGAGAATCCCGGGATGTAAACATTCAACACGCGGTGGGTTCTGAGAAAATCGAAGAACATCATCATGATCTCGGCTCTGCCGGGAGGTATTTGGCAATAGAGCCTTAGATGGGAAAGGGGCGTGACCGGGCTCTGCAAGATTGCCCGGCAGGATTGGTGTGCAGAGGCTCGGAGGCACGCCGTCAGCAATCAAGTGATACCAGGGTGAGGGTCGGGCGCCCAACGCGCGCGAGTGCCAGTCGTCCGGCCCCTGCCGCCTATGGCACCTCTTCAAGATTTATGTTGGGTATTTAGGCTTGACCTTTCTGCCTTCCTGTCTTCAAATTCAAGTCAAAACAAGGCCTGGCAGCAATTCGGAGAATGAACAAGGCCCCCAAACTCAAACCCAAGCACCTCAAAGGAAAGACTCTGCGACGAAGGATCGCTTCTCCTCAGGCTGCACGCCTGAGAGCAGCTTCTGCGGAGTCACACCTTTGGTGATCTCAGTCCTGGGCATGTGGGCCAATCCAGGATCTTCTCAAGTTTTTTGGGCTTGCTCTTGTTTCCGCATGCCATATTTTAACAGCACGTGTGGCGAATCAGAAGCTAATTGAATCTATGACGGCTTATTTCTCGCAGCCCATTTGGCGGTGGCCGTCCTGGTGTTGCAACCTGCCGTGTCGGGAGAACAGAAGAACTCTGACGAGTTACAGCCTTGAGGCATTTTGGGTCTCCCTCCAGAAGCTGCTCGTCTTCCCAAAGAGCCAAATCATGCAAGTACAAAAGGCCCTGCACTTAGCAATCTTAATAATGACCAAGCATCATAGACGGCATGGCTGGCAATGCAGGCACCACGGGTCTATACCAGTCGCAAGTTCAACTTGCGATGCGAAGAAGCCGAAATGCTCGATTCATGGAGGGCACATACAGGTGCTGTCAGCGGACAGAAGCTGCTGGTTTTCTTCTAGCAGCTTGGCGTTTTGCCTCAACCTCCCCACTTCTAAACTAGGCTTCAAGTGCTGCGTCTAGGCAGCACCGCCAGAATATGTTCCTGCGAACCCGTAGTCTACCAACTCCGGAAACAAAGCTGCGTCGGATCCCTCAAAATGCACAGTTCTATTGATCCATGGTCCACGTTGTTGGTACTAAATAAAACCCCCAATCATCAAAAAGAAGCGCGAAGGAGATAAGTAGTCTCCAAGGCCGTTTAGGAGATAGGAGAAATACATTGATATTTGGAATCAGGATGCGTGGATGTTGGTCAAAGTGTCCAGGTCATGACTCTTCTGAAAACAGACATGGTGGACTGCTGCAGACTCGCACATGAAACTGATAGACCGCTTAAGCTCCTTAACCCTGTTCCTCTGCCATCCCTGGCAAGTTCTGAAACCGCAACTACCAGACGAAGGCATCTTCCCCCAGTCTCTCACAGAAAAAGTCATGACATAAGCTGGTTCCCAAACTCTTGAAGCTGGGGAAACCGTCGGTCTAACACTCTGACTGGATCCTTAGCGTGTTTGGTTTTGGGGCTAGAGGAATCTGAAACGGTCGATTCGCTTCCCCCGAACAGTCAACCAAGCAAAAGTAAACTTTGTACTGCGAATGGCCTCTGGCGCCATCCATCTCCAGGTTCCCACACCGACCGTCATCCCCTGCTTAGACGTTTCCGCCGCCTGCGAATTGGAGGTTGACCCGGCCACTGCATTGCGGCTATCATTCTTCCAGCTGTTGGGCTTGCCTAAGAACTCCTTTATACTTGTGTTTTGGACCTGCTTTTGGCCTTTCGGAGACCATTCTTGGAGCCCTTTGGGGGCTGCTAGGCAGGCGTGTCATGGCCGAACAAAGGACTCTCGACGTGCCTCGCAAAATTCCAAACTGGTTTCTGCGTGGCACAATTGAAGGGAAACCACATCTTGAGAAATCATCCTCGCTTTCTGAAGAAACCTCTGAGGCCACTACAACATCAACGGGCAAGGCACTTGCGCTTTACGCTTCTGCCCCTCCATAAACAGCTCCTGCCCCTCAAGCAAAGCATGATGCAGCGTTTCCAAGAATGGTATCAAAGCAGACTAGCAGGGAGAAAGGCGCATCGGTGGCAAGGGCACCTCGACCCGCGAGAGACCGAAATCCGCCACCTGCGGGATGTGCTAAAGTAAGAGGAACGTTTAGCAATTCCAATAGTCTAAGGCAAGCCATCGTACATTTCGTAGATGTTAAAAGGCTTTGCTCCTATCCGTTTCCAAGATTCGGCAAACCCTGTCCTGCTCACCACTCCTGAATTTAAGCCGGTTGGGCAACACCATAAACCTAAGCTACGTCTTTCTACTTTTCTTGGCAGAGACTGGTACCTAAAGATTTTTTTGGCTTGCAAACATTGCGGCAGCCATGCAAGCAGCTCTCACGACAGATGGGCTCTCTGTCTAGTGCCGCACCGATTTCTCCACCTGCCTGACCTGGTTTCCAGGGTCTAATATTTCATAGTGTCTCATGTAACGGCGGAAGACATGTGCAAAATCATGCCCATACCTGCTCCAGTCAACGAGAGTCTTCTTTACTGGAGCCTACATCCACGCAATCATACGCAATCCCCTTCAGCGCCTTTGCAAAGGGCTCTTGGCTGGAACTCCTAGGGCGTCTGTGATCATAATGGCTGTGGTGGAGTGACACTGGGGTGGGATAATGGTGGAAGCGCTGGGGGCGGCGGCAGCAGCAGCAGCAGCACCACCACCACCACGTGCAGCGAAGGTGGCGGTGACAGTGGCGGTAGCGATTGTGGCAAGCGACGGCGGCACAAGCACCAGGAGCAGGAGTAGCACCAGTAGCAGCAGCAGGCGAGGTGAACGTGTTTAGAAGGGAGAATGCATGATGGCAGTCAATCCCAGGCGGCGTAAGAAAAGTGCATCAACTCGAAATGTCCTACGCCCTTGCATGATGCTGTACAGGTGTCCTCTAGTTGAGGGTGTGAACTTTTGACTCAACAGACGGGATTTCGTGGGCGGACTCATTTCAATGAGATGCTGGGTGTAGATCTGGCTATGCAAGGAATCAGAACCCTCAAATCCCGAACCTGTGCGCATGTTGCATTTTGTGAGGCACCCTCAGAATAACTCCCAAACCCTACAACCTCAGCCCCTTCTGCATGACTCAAAAACTAGATCGGCCATCGAGCTTACATTCACGGGCAGTCCTCAGAGGCTTCGCCAACAGGACATTGCTGCTTTTCAGATCCCGGTGTAGGATGCAGGGTTTCTGCTCGTGAAGGTACCTCGCAGCAACGGCAGGCTTCGAAACACTTATAAATGCAACGCTTCAGCCCTTTCAAGGGTTTGTTGGCATTGTGTCTAGTGCCGACACGACTTCTCCAACCTCCTGTATTATACTGCTTCTGCTTCAAGTAACGTCGGTTGGCTGCTGCGGCTGCTGCTCTGGCAGGTGGTGCTGAGCCATCCCTGTATCTCGTGCAGCAACGGTGGGAGTTGCAGTTAAACATCCACACACAAAATCTGGGGCAGGAGATCAGAAAGATTAGCTGTGGAGATTGTGAAGGTAGAATGTGGGTTCCCGCCCTTCACACCGAATTGGCTAAGCCTACTCGTTCATACTGTGGCTAAGCCACCTCAATGAGAGCCCAACCGCACTCAGCTCAAGAAAAGCTTCAATTCGAAGGCGGGAATCGAATAATTGAACCTTGGGACATATCATAGTAATCCTGTACCTGATCCTAACATGAAGGCTGATGACTCATCATCATACTCTACATTGAGTTCGGCAGACATTATGTATGGTCGAGGGATCACATTGAGATTCAAAGGTGCGTTGTCGATCAACATGTCGGCAGCCTAAGAAGTTTGCGGCAACGAACCCGCTTCCTGTGTTGCATTTGTTGTTACACCCCAGTGTTTGAAAAATGAAAGGAAAAACAGTTTGGCCAAAAAGCCAGCTTTGGCAAGCTCACCCGAGCTCTACCTCACCTCCATCGGCATGCCTGATTTGAATGCCTAGGCTGGGATGCACAACGGGCCTGTTCTTTACTGTAGTTCTCTCGAGTTTGAGCAGTAAGCTTTACTCCCTGCTCTTTTTACTATTTGCAGATAGACCAGCCCTGAATAATGTCAATAGGTATCTGCAGTTTCAATTGCTACGTGTCCTTACACGCTCATGGACAAGGGGCATGACCTAGCAGAATTCATCTGGATTCTGGATCCTCCAGAGGAGCAGCGGAGGGCAGGCGGACGAGTCGCAGGAGGAAGAGGAATGCGGGAAAGCAAGATTTGTGTGCTCCCTGATTCCCAGTATCCCGAAGATGACCTTTCACATGCTGAATGGCAGCAGCAAGACCGTAAACGAAGAAAAAGGCTTTCCTTTCTGGCTGTCCAGGGCACCAGTGCACTCAGCCTTCAGGCTATGCAGGTCTCCGTGCAAGGGTGGTCGCGTGGGCGTAACTTTACCCGCTGCCTGACGAATTAGGCGCGGGTCGCCTTCAAACACTGACACCATCGGCTTTAAAAGTTGCTTGGCCCGCTCCTTGGGGAGGGCCTCCTTCTTAATGACTCGCCCATCTGGCGCCGGGCTGGGGCAGAGCACATCTTCCAGGGTCAGTGGACGATGGCAGCGCTGCAAAAAGAGGGTGGCTGACTCCAGCAGGGTAAGCGGCGGCAGCTCAACATGCACCGCCTTCACCACGTCATTAAACAATTCCCACTGTGGCTTGGAGCAGCCAAGGAGCAAAAAGAATCCATCAGACTCCAGGTTCTGCTTTAAGACATCGCTGTGCTCTGCCAAGGCATTGTCTGCATCGTCAATTATCCTGATATTGGGGTTATCGTGGGATAATGGAAAGTAGAATGGAAACTACGGGGATATATAGTGTATTGGGATAATGGAAAAGAACATGGAAGCTGAGGCTGTGCGGGTCACGTGTTCCGAAGCAGCCCTTGTGAGGTCAACGCCTGAACCCTGAAGGCCATGAAGCCTAAATGGGGGTTCCCAGAATTCGGGGTACCTTTTTGTGAATCCCTGGAATAATAAGGATTATGTGGATCTCTGGGGTCTATATTGGGGTCCACCTATTTTGGGAAAGTACCAAGCATCTTCCAGCTAAGCCAGGGAGCAGTAGCCCTCGCTGCATGGGCCTTAGCTGCACAAGGAAACTACCCGTAATGCTAATTGCCCTCACTTTGCACCTGTATCTTTGCGACTTGATGAGTTTTTCGATGGTTCTCATTCGAGTTTCTTCGGCGTATCAATATGGTAACCAGACAGTTGAGGAAAACATAGAAAAGACCTCGAAGAATGGCCCAGCAGCCGGGGCCCTCCGAAGACGCAGCTGCCAGCAAACCGGCGTCCAGGTGCCGAAACGTAGCGCGCAATCTCCTGGGTCAGATGGGAGGGTTCCTATCTTGGTGCAAACTTTAGGTTGGCAAATATAAACCCCAAAGCACTAGAATCCTTATTAAATGGAGCCCCCAAAATTGCACCTCTAATTTTGGGAAACCCCAAGAAGTGCCCTAACTTTGTCAATACGGCACCTAGCAGACGTATCATGGAGACTTCAGTGAGGCAACGCGGGAGAAAATGAACAAATGGGCCTTCCTTTCCAGGCAATGACGGAACGGTTCTCTTGACTAGAGATTTCCCTAAACTAGGGGTCCCTTAGTGGGGTCCCCATAATAAGGTTCATAATATTATGGGGTCTATATTGGGGTCCCCCTATTTGGGGAAATTACCGCTTCTCTCTGATACTACTACCATCTGCTACGGCCACGAGAGCACCTTTTTTATGTTCTTTCACTGAGCTTTCGCAATAACAAGTATCTGCAAGAAAATGATGACGATATGAGCTATACTAATCATTCTATCATGCCAGCGCTCTCAGCTGTGGTAATTCGAAGTCAAGCTTCGAGGCAAAAAGGGAAAATCTAATAACTGCCGAGTTTCCGTAAGCGTGGTGGTGAGTCCCAGCTTCCTGGGGCTGTGAAGCACCACGACCTGAGTTGCAAGACCCCTTTGCTGGCCTGGGGACCTGAGTCACGAGAAATCCGCTGTCCCTGTGACCATGCATGTCAAACTTTTCCACCCGAAGTCCTGTTGCCGTTGCTGCTTTGACTTGGGTTTTCAGGTCAAGGCTTCAACACGTTGAAGCATGCGTTGTCGTTCATTGCCCAGTCCGACGTGGGGCTGTGCAACACCAGGAAGGACACAAGTGCAAAAGGTCTCAACACCCTACGAATTGGCGTGGACAAGGCTTCAGGTGCTCCGCCCGAAGGAAGAGGCAGGGGTTAGCGCAGCAACGCGGTTTAGGGTTGAGCGTCTGGGGCTCAACAGCGCGAAAGGGAGTCCTGGCACAAATTCTCCTGAAGAGGTATGATAGCTTACATAAAGCTACTTTGACAAGACTCTGCAACTCGCTCTGAAACATTGGGGAAGTTTACCTGAATTTCTTTAGCCTCACCTTGCGGTGCGAGAGGTGCTGCAGGACGGACAGCATGGTCTCTTCTCGTCCCACGAAGTCCTCGACTGGTCCAGGCAGGTCCTGCAGCCAGCAGAAGGATTTGTGTTTCTCCATTCTCAGTTTCCTGTGTGTCTAATGCTCCTCTGCTTCTTATACTTCCCCTCCTCCTCTCCCCCAACTGCCCCTCACAACAACCGCCACGGCCAATGTCGCCCCCGCTCCCGCCACCTTTTTACACCGCCAGTTTCTTCTCCTCTCTCTCACTCTCAGCCAGCACTCCCAGCAAAGGGCACGACAGGCGCTGCTGTGGGCAACCAGTATTTTGCGGCTTGCGTGTCGTCTGAGCACTACCAAAGACTTGGCTACAGTGTGACAGGCCGAGCTAGATATCGAGCCAGAATTCCGTCGATGTTGTTTGGCAAATGTGCCCTTTACATTTCAATCATCCATCAAATCTCGCTGCAGCTTCTATACATCCCGCAATATCCTCTTCACACTGCGCTGCTGCATTATCCACACGCGCTGCTGTAATGCAGCGGCGCGTGACAAGCTTGTTTGTTGTCAACGACGGCGACTAGTGCAGATGTCAATGATGCACTCTTGGTCAACAACACCAGTCAGTGTCCTGGTAAAAAGGCTTCAGGGCGAGGTCACCATGCGTCACATCCGGAACCTGCCAGCTCACCAAGTGGCCCCTGAAGCTCCATGGATAATCAAGGCGCTCTTTCGTTGATAAAGAAGTGAATTAAGATGATTTGGTCGGTGGAACTTTGGCTTGCAATCAAACATGCAGCTCACACAAAAAAAAAAAAAAAAAACTCAAGTGGATGTTGCTTTGCCCTACGTGCTCGGTGGAAAGAATTTACCTCATCATTTCATTTGCACCCCATGTATTAGCAGGATGTACAGCCGCATGCATAGAGGGGTATGTCTGCTTAGACCCTATCTTGTCCCGGCCCTTATCCTCATTGAGACAGAGCGACCTGCAGCAGCACATCCCCGTTGGAGAAGAGCCTGAAGCCCGAATCACCGCCCTCGGAATCCACCTCCACCTTCAAAAGGTGCAGAGAAGGGGTGCGCCGGGCCATCATGCCCGGCGGTCATACACAGATGCACGGAACGATCCCAACAAATATTAGATATCGGCCAGCATACAACCCCACATGCCTGAAGTTTTGGTTGAAGGGGCGGGGTCAGCTACAGGGGCTGATGGAGGGGCGGATTTAGAGTCATGGATCCCTTTCCAAGAAACCTGCCCCGCGTTGCCTTAGTTGGATCATTGTCTCAAGCGTTTCGCGTTTCGCGGCTTCCCTGTCCTTCACGCCCCTCTGCCAGGGTCCTGCCCCTGCGAAGCGCAGGGCTTAATCTTTGAGGATGGGTCCATGGCCTGGGCTGGGTCCCGACCATCCCATTTTCGATCTCAGGCTGCTGTTTTGGGACAGATCGCAATCCCATCGCTTTCGTCCTTCGCCCCAACACATGATTGCACAGACTGTGTTGGAGGCGCATGATATGAGGTTAAGATAATGATTGTGTAGGAAAATTGAGATAACTGACATGGGCTAGGAAGATGGACAGGACCTTACCAGGCAAGTCCTTTACGATTCGTGACACCCGTCACCCTCCTTTGTGCCGGCGGACACGGGTGCCTCCACAAACGGTTCTGTGCTGATGCGCTGTCAATGCAGGCGGAGCTGCAAACGCGTATCTATTAATGAAGAATCTTGACTCTAAACTTTCAACAAGACTGCCGCGTAGAAGCCCTCCTGTAATTGTGTTCTCTCAGGCATGGAAGGATTTGCACCACATCAGGCTGCGTGCCATAAAGTGGGGGGGGGGGGTTGACAGTTGTGTATAGGGTTGAGACTATCTAAATGTTTCCTTGGCGTCACCAAGCTCAATGGCAAAGCTGGCACAGAATGCATGCAGGCTGTACATGCTTCAGCCAGCTTCATCAGAGATTCGGTACCGGTATTATGTTGGAACAGACCACCACCATTCCGTGGAGAAATGCAGGCTAACCACCCATGCGGGAAACAAAACAGATAGTTGGCCCAGATAGTCCTTTCTGCCCAGCGAATGCTACAACTCCCCTGTATGGTGCTTCCAGTCGCGCCTCTGCAAGAGCAATTCGAAATGCATTGCGCAAAGAGCGCCGGCATGCGAGGGCCAAGTAAAAGCCTGACAGAGGCTGGTGGCATTATTGTTATTATTATTGCGATTATTGTTACTACTATTAGTACCGTTACTATTGTTAGTATTTCTAATATTGTTACTATCTTTTCTATCGTACGGTCCAACGTCCATTATCTCTGCAAAATTCGCGGGCAAATAGATGCAAGCTAGCCTTCAACTGCCTTTTTTTGAACATGATAAGTGAGGTCCCTGCGCTTAGACGCAGATAACATAGAGTCCATGGCTTTTCAATTCTGGGTGAGGTAGGCCGGCGACCCCCGGTCAAGGTGCGTTAGTCTGACAGCTACAAGTGTACAAGTTGCTGCATTTCTTGCATATCATGAATACAGCGAATACATCTTTCAGAAAAGCCAGAAAGCCGAAAAAACTGAAATATTTAGGCGGTCCGAAGGGCGATACTTACACGCTTAACAGAAAGTGTTAAGCTATTTTGAATCTACGGTTGGACATGGGATCAAAGAGAAGAGCCAAGCTCAAGTTCGGCGGGAGCATCCAAACCTAGCCAAACTCGGACGCAAATGTCAGGGGCCAGCGCGTTGACATAACACGGTAATCTATCATGCTCGCGTGAAATTCACACATGGAGGCAGCTGCTTTACCCATTGTCTAGCGTTGATCCAGCGGCCTCCATGCGCCCTCTGACCTAAACCCTAAACCCTAGCCCCGTTTCCATGTCCTTTTCCATGCTCTTTTCCATTTGATTCTCCATTATAGTAGTTTCCATGTTATTTTCCATTATCCCTATATAAACCCTAGATAACCCCTCCATCACATAATCCCTATAGTAGTTTCCATTTTTTCCATTTTCCCTATGTAACCCCGATATAACCTCTGCATCCTAAACCCTAAGCCAAAAAACCTAAACCCTGGTCAGCTGAATGCAGATGAGGGGCTTTTGGCAAAGCGGCTGGCACAATGGTCTTTGACAGGGCGGTTCGTGTACACGATATGCTGCACTCCAGCGGAGTAGAACGCAGCGGCGAGACTTAGCCATTCCGTTCGTGGGGGCTCGTGCGCAGCTTGAGAACCGAGAAGTTACGCCTACTTCCACTTCTTGTGACATTGTGGCCGTTCAGGATGGTGCAATTATCGTATCTACTTGTATATTAGAATGTATAGTAAAAACTAATAGTATATATTGGTAAATACGAATATATAATAGTACATAATAGTACAAGAGAAGTATATTATGTTTGTTCCAAATCTGCCGAGCAGCGTATCAGACCTGCAGTTGGACCTTGGCAGCACACGGCGGGAAGTCTGAGCCCGTACAGTTGAGCGACATGGAACAAACATTGAACTATTATGTAGTTATATACTACTGTATACTATAACATACTATATTATACTATATATAAAAACTAGTATAATACTAAAACATACTGTATTATGCTATAGTATACTGTACTACACTATATTACTTTCTTTGACTCTCCCTGCTGCGGCTAGTAGCAATAATAGAAGTAGTTGTACTGATAATACGAAGAAATAGCTGTAAGAGTAGTAGTAGTACTAGAAATTACAGTAATTAGGGTAGCAGTAGCAAAACTGGGAGGAGCTGCGTTTGCAGCAAACGACTCAATGACAGAAATACCTAACTTTGTTGTTTTGACATTTTTTGGTTGGGAGGATGCATCAAGTCCTGGTGCTGTGAGCTAGGATTCGAGGAGAAGAGAGTGGGCTCAAGATGCTGGAATGCTGGAAAGAGTATTATATACTATTATATACGCTTATCATATATTCTATCATATACTATTACATATGATTATGCACAGATCCTAAGTCTGCACCGTGTGCAGGGTTGAGCTGGCGGTTAGGCTGGCAAGCTCATTGTACCATCTTGTTGCAGAAACTGGCGGAAGTATGCTTGAAACAGGCATCATCAACAAACGTGTTGAAATACTGGAAAGGTCCGTCAACTCCAAAATGTCCAGCTTGCGTGATGTGCCGAGGCATGTACCTCACCCTACTTGCTTCGGAGCTGCGTGGAATAGGCCCTAATAGCAGATGTGGTGACAGTGCTGGAAAAGCAAAAACAATAACAGTTCTGGCGTGGAAGCGTGGCAGGTATGCTAGGGCACGTGACGCATTTTGAGAATATCAGGCAAATGCGTTCAGTCCATTTGGCTTGCGTTCATGTAAGGCACACGATTCTCCAGCCCCCCACCCCGTGCAGGCTCCGCCGTGCCCTGCACCAAGACAACTGCCACTGCGGCTGCTTTTGCCTTGTGACAACAGCACCAACCCAACACCACCTGCGCCGCCGCCACCATCAGCAAACCATGCTAGCGACGACGATCATTACCATTGCCTTCTCAAGGTGAACAACCTAGCAACCATCTTAAATTAAATGTTCAAGCCCTCCCAAGAGAGGATCCCTTCTAGAAGCTAAATTCATGCAATGCGAACTACGAAACACGCTGCTGGGGGTAATCCTGGGAACAGGAAGACGAAGTAGGCCGCTGGTGCATCGGCACCCCCGCTTCGCAGTAGTCGGACCAAAGCATGCAGAGTCAATGCCTGACGAATGAGGGCCTTCATAAGTTTTGTTCTGGGTCCTTCATATGTATCACATGCCCGCGGATACTTCTACAAACATGTTGTAGATATCAAGCAGGATCCAACTTCTGAGACTCGGGGATTGGGGTGAGTGTTCCGGGATTTGGATGCTGGGGCGATGTGTCTACACTTGACGTTCTTATCACCCAAGTGCTTTCCTGACCCGAGTAAAGTCCAATGGCTTTGCTTAACCATAAGAAGCTCTAAGTTAGCTGACGGACTTTCATTGCCCCTCACAGTTGCAGCCCAGGTCTTAACTTCGCCCTCCTGATGAGCAGCATTGGTTTTGCTGACTCAGGCTTCATGGGCGTCATTGAGCTAGTTCACATTCAGTCTCCTCACTAGCATGTACGCTGGGACGTGGGAGTTGTTGGCGGATTTTGTCTCGCCCAGCAGAGTCTATCAACTGTAGCTGTACGAAACAACAGCAAACTGCCCAGTGCAAGGGATGGGTTGCCCTGCCGGGCACTGCAATCAAAAATTATGCAGGTCGATTGGCGTGGCCTCCCTTTCCAACACAACCTATGGACCTATGTCTTCCATGCCACAGAAGAGTTGCTACCCAAAGGGTACAAGCTCTTCATGTAATCAAGCTGAGAGTGCGTCCAGGATGTGAAATGTAGGTAACGGAAGACTATACGGTAGTTTCCCTAAACAGGGGGACCACAACATAGACCCCAAGGTACTGTTATGGGACCCCCGCCCTCCGCCCCAAAAAAAGGTACCCCTAATTTGACAGAAAGGACTCAACCTGCTTGAGTATAGACTAATTATGCTCACCCTGAACGCTTTAGTATTGTTCAACAAATGTTCAACATCTCCTGGACTGCGAACAACTCTCTTACAATTCCCGTCTCGCCACATGACTTTCCATGTCTCCTTGCGTTCTAAGCTTTATCTCAATTTGACTCATGAACGCTTGTAATGCCTCCAAACACAACCCTACCCTCCCACAAGCTCGGACAAGACATCCCTGAGGGCCTCGGTGCCACCAAATCCGTCTTCCAGTACCAGCGTGCTCTCGTTTGCTGTGTGTGCAGAAAGGTGGAGCCACAAGTTTCCTGCTCGCACTCAGGTTTGAATCCAGATCCTCTAGCACGTCCTAATGCGTGTAGTTTCTCTACCGCTACCATAAGGCATGATGGAATACGAAAATGACAGGCAGCTTTACTTCCGCAATCCCTTTGCTTGGAAGCTGACGTTTCACACAGCGTGGTCAATGTTCAACTTATATGGCTGCGTCAGCGTTATCTGCAACATTGCTGCTGCAGAGATGTCTAGAAACAGAATGGAGCTTGGAAGGATTCTGCACTAGAGAAATGATACAGTTGAAGGGGATACAATACGCTTCTGAATCATTCTGGCTTCTACATTCACACAAGTGCAGACTAGCGATATGAGTGTCTTCTGAACCAAACAGCGCAAGTGGGCGTAACTCGACCCGCTTCTGACACCGAATCGCTCAGACAGACAATGCCAAGATCATCCTTTGTAGTCCGTTAGATGGCTGTGACTTGCAATCGCAATCGAAACCAAGTTGCTGCTGGTGGCCTTGTGCCAAGGATAGGACACGCGACCGTAATAGTACTGCCACGATCACAGATAGGTGCGTATGCTCTTCAGCGGCAATTACACGACAGGAAGCCACAGGGAAAACAAAACCCCCGAACCGCATGAATCGCGGCCAAATCTGATGGTCCTTCCGTCACCGCGCGCCGGAGATTGTGGATGGAGCCAGTTTTCACCTGATTATAATACTTTGTCTTTGCAGTTTTGTGGTTTTAGCTCAACTTGCCAGTCCACCACCAACCAAACCCACAAAAACAAAGGTTACGCAAGTGCAGTTTCTCTTCAGTAGGCCATGCAAGCATTCAGGTCCTGTTGGGGAAATGGGGGAACCAATGCCCAACAATCTTCATACGCTTACGCTGTCTTGCGCACGTGGTGTTGCGAGCCGAGATAGATGCACTCTGCCCTGGCCCTAGCACTGATACCTGCCGCAGCATTCAAGATCCCTATCACGACCTCTGACGAGAAAACACGGAGAAGTCTAATCAGCAGCTCAAGGTTGCATTTTACGCAGGATTCAAAGGTAAGAAAAAGGAAAAAGAACTTCAAATCAAAAAGCCAAATTTGGATTGAAATCGTTTTGCTGCTCAGGATCCTATTGAAAGTACAAAAAGGACCCGCGCCTTGACATCAATGATCCCATGAAGCGCTTCACGAACAGCTTGGACCTTCCAGGGCTCACTGACCCAAACACTCACCCAGCTTTGGTACAAACAGTCTTGGCCGTGCGTGGAGATACAATTACAAGTACAGCCGGACAGAAAATAGCCAACATTAGCGAACTGTTCTTGCGCAGGGCCAAATACGCGCTGGTTGATGTCTTAAGAAATTGAGAGTAAGCTAGGAGTGCATGCATGCCATCATCCACCAACCGTATCACTGGCCGGGTCACGGATGGATACATCGAGTCCCAGCGTGAAACATTGCACCCTTCTGGCTGTATGTGTATTACTGGGGCTGCTAGTGGCCTCCCGGTCGATCTTGAGCCGTGGTAGTGGGGCGTACCTTGGCATGCCGGACTGGGGCCAAAGTGTGTTTCTGACTCAGAGGTGCAGGCACTTTCGTCATAAAGTCAAGGGCCTCTGTGCAGGATTGCAATTAGAGGAAGTGCTTGGGGTGCTGTTGTTGTGGCAACCGCACATTTGTTCAGCGTCGAAGCACATGAACGTTTGAAGGTATCAGCTTCTATCCATGAAAGCACTGCGCGGAAGCTCCTCAAAGGAACAAGTGCGTAAAATTGAGCATTCCAAAGCTGGAGCTCATTTCAATTCTAGAAGAATCCGACCCTTGACCTTTGACCAATGTTGAACTGAACTCTTTACTTGCTCCATGTCGGCTACTTAGCTTTGGGTCACAGTTCAAAATTGCTGGACGCTTGATTCCAATCCTGAAGGCGCGGTAATCCGCATACTGCCTGTATCTCACTGTTCAATCCAAAGACAAACTTCCATCCTAGACCTTGGAGTATATAGTCCCCCTTAAGTAGATAGAATATGGCTTTGGGTACATTATAAGAACATCCCCATATACCCCATAGTCTATCTACTTAAGGGGGACTTTAAGCCCCCTGTACCGGCCCAAAGCTGCCTTGACTGCCCATTGGCTCCTCGCGTCAGCACACAGAGCGGGGAGGCATGCAGAAAAAGGAGCCGAACCGGCTTCGCCGACTTCACCTGAACCAACGTTTGACAAACCCTAAACCCCAGATCCTAAACCCTAAATCCGAAACCCTGAATCTAAACCAGAAATCCTAAACCCAAATCCTTAAGCCCTAAGCCCTAACTCGAGAGCTCCACAAGAATGATGCCAGCATGGGGATTCCATAAGGGTGAGATACTGACAAGGCAAGGACTGTGACGCTGTTTGTCCGGCTGAAGGGCTGCTGTATTTTCTGTACAAATTTACAGCTAGACATTGAGCATTTCTGGGGCTTTGTTGGCAGGAGTATGGGGGGTTCGCTTCTTCACTGGTAGATCCTAATTTTGGTGCGGCCTCATAAACGATGTGGCAGCAAACGAGAAACCCAAACGGCGTATCACAAAAAACGGGTTCCTGAAATCGAGCTCCCTCGAGTGGCGCGGAACTCTGTGAGATGATTTTTGTGCATTACAGTCGAGTGAGGAGGAAAGAGTTTCCTGCTCGCAAGCTCAGCGTGCTCAACTTTGCCCCAGCACAGCGCTAGTCATGACGCAAGTACCTGTCTGCTGAATGTCGTTGTTGACGGTATCTTTGGCTGTATACATGCAACAGCCGTTGGATTGTGCTTTCACAGGATGCTCCAACTTGAATGCGATAGCCCTTTACGACAGTTTCTTGTTACCTACTTCATTCGCCCTTGGTCCCTTGAGGCCATGAGGAGCTGCAGTTTCAAGATGAATTCCAAGGAGCGACCCGAAGCCCAGACCCTAACCTTCTCTGATTACCAGAAAACTTTCCAGGTAAGTCCTGGGTAAGGAGAGGTCGCACCTCAAAGTGCTCCGCGCTCAGTGAATGAGAAGGATCATGTGGAAGGGCACCTGTCCCGTTCAATACATAAAATCTACATACGGTACATCCTGCACTTCGGTCAGCGGAGACAGTGGAAGTGCAGGCTCACACTTACGGCCACGAACAAATCCTTTAGCAGCACACCCTTGAAACCTTCGACGCTCATCTCCACCCCACCCCTGGGCTGCCTGAAAAGGCTTTCCTTATTATAGTTTCCATTTTCTTTTCCATTATCCTTATAAAACCCCTCTATGACCCCTCTATAAGCCCTATATAACCCCTATATAACCCCTCTATAACCCCTATATAGCCCCTCTATAACCCCTATAAACCCTGTGCTGTTCAACCCAAAGCCTGGCCGGAAGTTCGCTGAGCGAACTTGAGGCCGCATCCTACAGACCAGGTCGAAGTAGGCCGCTTGCAGACGCTTCACGGCCTTTGCCTCCTGCAGAACAGATTTACTTGTTGGGGGGAAATAAGGGGTACACTTCAAGGGGTTATACAGGGGTTATATGCTATAGTACAATAAGGTTATATTGGCTATATAAGGGTCACATTGGGATAGTGGAAAGAAAATGGTACCTTCTATTTAGGGTTTAGGGTTAAGCGTTTCCTAAAAGTAGGGGTACCTTTTGGGGGGGTTGGGGTCTATTTTGGGGTCCCCTTATTTTGGGAAACTACCATTTGGGCTTCAGGAGCTTGAGATTTATCTTTGAAGTGTAAGATTTCAGGCTTCTGCTACTGATCTAGGCTTCTGTCAGGAGAAAAAGTTTTGGGACAGACTAATTAATTGCCATCATACCAAACACCATTTGTGCGGTGTGAATGGATTCCATGAAAGGAGGATGATCTTTGTCTGCGCCAACCCCCGAGAAATCATATGTCTGAAGCACTTCGGGCGCTTGCCAGGGAAGGTGGATTTAGGGTTGTCCGTTCTTCTTGCAATACCACGGGTGCCGAATTACAGTCTTATCGTAGGCCGTCAATGCTGTAAGTTTGCGTTCAGCCTTGTAGGCTGGAGCATCAGAGGATAACATTCAGGGTTCAGCATTGGTCAGGGGATCTTGACTTTGGGATCTTGGGGTTTGGCCTTCGTGCGTGCCAGGGTATTTGAACCCATGGTTTGAGAAGACCTGGCTCTGTCCCATACCGAGAAAACTGCCAAAACAATCCACACTCTCCGCTGCCCTTCACCTTACTCCCGGAACCAAAAAAAAACATCTGGCACTTCAACATGCCAGCAAGGTGACATGTTTATGCTCTAGTTTCGAAGAATTCTGTTTTGGGCCTGTGTCTCGGCCACTGCAGACAGAGCAAGGGACTCCTGGAACCGCTGCTGTAGCAAATGCATTCAGGTTTAGGCTCAGGACTTACAATCTTGGATTTGAAGTTGTTGGTGTCAGGGTAGTTGATAAGCCATCTCCCTGCGCGATTAAGTTTTAGGAGTTAGGCCTTTTGGTGAAGGATTTGGGGTTCTAACCAGTTTGGGATGGGAGAAACGAACTTGAGAAAAAGGATGCGAGGTTCTGGGCTTGAGACTTTCAAGCCAGCTTTCAGGCATTTGGGAGGGGTATCCAAATCGAAGACTCCTGTTATCAAAATAGTAGTTTCCATTTGATTTTCCATTATCCCTGTATTCCCGCAATATTCCCCCAATATATACCCTATAATCCCTATATCACCACTACATAATCTACCGGGACCTTGCACAGAATATCGGCTTGTGCTCAGCACTTCACATTCGAGCAGGGTTGGGGTCCCCATGATCCTGGTGATGATGATGGGGGCTGCGCTGCCCCTTCTAGGAATCCTGTAGGAGCGTGAACAGTTGCATCTTCGCCTAAGCAAATATCTTAACACCCGTTCCATGCTACAGAGAGAGGGATTGAGTGAAAAGACGCCCACCCCAACACCACAGAGGTTTTGACTCGCAATCGAATCTTGAGGTCCTCCTTAAGATGTTTCGGACCCAATCCCTGTACCCAGAATCGCACAGTCCTGGCATGTAATTACTCGGAACAAGAAGTCCTCAAAAATTCAAACAAGAACAGTCATGTCAGTCAGGGACTCACATTCGCAACAGCACCCCCTGATTCCCACCCTAAACCCTAAACCCTCAAACCTAAACCCTATAAACCCTGAGGTCCGTAAGTGTGGAGAGTGCCAGGGAATGGCTCCGCTCAGGCCGGGAGTTGGGGTTTTCATCGCTGGTCTTCACCAGGTAAACCAAAGCCGAGATCCTGGGGCTTTGCAAATTGCTTGTGGGGTATTCTATGCCACCACTACAGCTTGTAGTACACTGTCATGACAACCGTGATTGCTGCTGTGATGCGCAGCCTTTGCGTAATATCCTGCATCTTAATACAACAGGGGTGCATTCCATTGCATCTGGCCTCTACTCAGATTCCACGACCAGCAGAGGGTACGAGTAGCAGGGTGGAGATGGGGGTGGGAGGAGTGGTTGGCCAGGGTTGGCACGTTTGCGTTTTGCGGGTTTGATGGGTAGAACCGTGCGCTCGGCTGGCAGCTCATGGTTTCCTAAACCCTGAACCCTAAACTGAGACTTTGGTCCAGGGAGCACAAAGGCCAGCGTTGCCAAGTCAAAACGATACTGCGGCGGCAGCAGCCTTACGGATTTATGGTCTTAGGAGGTTCCAAACAAGGATGGGGCCTCACAGAAGGTAGCACGGTAGTCTACACTTCGTCGCATGGATGATTGTGGCTCCATATTTCATCATGCAAGGGGGCGTACTTTCCTTTCAAAGGCAAAACTGGCACTTTCCATGTTTGACTTCGTTATGCAAGGTCCGAGAAAAAGACCACAGGCCCAGACAACGTCAATGCGTGAGATTTCCAAGAAATCTCAAGATTTACAACCTGAAAAACCGAAAAGTGAGAAGCCTCCTGAGCTTGGATGAGCAAGTGGCTTGTTCGTCTCAGTGGAAAAGTGGTCAACGAAGCCTCGCGACGAGCGGAAGACTCTTATTCTTCTTGACTGAAACCAGCAGACCTATGGCACACTGTCCGGGGCCCAGATGCGGGTGTCGGGAAGAGCTAAGCTCAGCGAAAAAATCAAGAAGCCGCAGGTCGTTGCGTGTGTGGACTGCTTGCTTGTTATCAACCTTTAGCCCAGCCCCAGCGACAACAGCTATGGAGTACGATGACCATCTAAGCGGTCAAGATGAAGACAGGCCGAGTTGGAGGTAAGTGTTTTAAGCAAAGCGCAAACAGACCAAGCCCATCCAGAAGACCACTCAAATTTCGTCATCGACCCAAATCGACCCTCAGCCAAAGAAAATGGGAAACCCTTTGATTTCATCTGGGAGCTGCCACTGCTGATGCGAGTCACGTCATCTGAGCCATCCTGGGTTGCTGTTAAGGAATTTAGATTAAGTTACCATAATGTGTGTATATACATATATATATAGTAATTAATATGCTTTCTCCAATATAGTAACTTAAATGAAGTTCCTTAAAAGCAACCCAGCATCCTCCTGAAGGTTGGGCATGCAATGGTCCTCTGTTTCGTTCTCCGCATCCTGGGCTCAAAGGGAGATCCTCTAGGTTTAGAGGGATTATTTAGGAGTATAAAGGGTTTAGGGTTCAGGGATTAGGGTTCCCCAAAATTAGGGGTATATAGGGTTTAGAGTAAGACTGCGAGGAAGTCATATGATGTTGCAAAGAGATATGTGAGTCATGCGACGAGTCGTTTACGGTATCTCTTCAAGCACCACACGCTGAGCAAGCTCCCCATATCCGCTTTGGGCCATAGAGACATGAAAACCATGTAGCCTGGAGCACTAAGGCTGTAGCACGCTTCATAAAAACGGCATGCTCCAAGCCATTCAAAGGGCAATGGCTTCTGCTGAATGCCTATCGTGCCGCACATACTCAGATGTCACCAAATGATCCTCCTAGACTCTCTACAACATAAACCCTAAATAGTAGTTTCCATTCTATTTTCCATTATCCCAATATAAGCCCCATGCATGCCCAATATAAGCCCAATATTACTCCCAATCAACAAACATGCCCCTCCAGGTCCCTCAGCAAACGAATCTGTGTTGAGCAAAGACTTTCTTTCTGGGGACTCCTTCTCAAGCGTAGGCTAGAACAAAAAGAAAATGCCCAAATGCAAAAGTTTCCACAGTACTGAGAAAGTAAGGGCTTCCGTAACTCCGAATGCACGTCCCTACATATTTTGGTATGGTTACAACTGATTACATGCGATTCTGCGACTGACAAAACCCCTGCTAGTAGTCCAGTGATTCTGCTGCATCCTACCAACAACTGCGGGACTGCATTGCCAGGATGTCATCTTAATTCAGCGAGTTGTTGCCACAGCAAGCAAATCCCATTTCTGCTGTCGTCGTTCCCAATGAGCACGACTAAGCTCTCAACAAATCATAGCGTACTACATGTGAAGTGTGAAGGGTAAAGCAAGCTGCGTGAGACGAGACAAAGCAATCGCAGAACCTGAAGCACCATGTTTCCAAGCGAGACTAACTTCAGTACCCTCAGCATTACCACGAGGGGCCGAAGCATGGCTCTGCACGCATAAGATCACAAAACAGCGTGTAAGCAATGACTGATCTTCACTCTCCAGAATTAAAACCCTAGATCGGAATCTCTGCATGCGTGGTTGCAGCTGCTTCTCTATGCGAGCTATACATCGTCTAAACTCCTTAAAGGGGGTAATGTAGGGGATCATATAGGAGACGATTATAGGGGTTGTTAAGGGGGATACTAGGAGTTAGACTATAGCTCTTGTAAGGATGCCGAAGGTGTACGGAACTCATGCGGTCCCAAATTCGAATTTGACGGAACCAAAAAACTTGCTGCATGAATATGCTATGGACAGCCAACTTCATCGCGAATGAGCTCAGTATTGAATGATCAGGCATTCAGGCAAGATGAAGAAAACTCATCCCGAATGGATCCTGAACCTAAGAGTGTAGCCCGGCTTCAGACATATAATAATTGCAGTACTAGTACTAATGGTGAAACCTAGCCTACAGCCTTGCGATGCTGAGAGCTAGCGAGGCTCCTGCATGAAGCGGGGCCAGTTGCTGGTGTTGGCGGTCCTTGCTTGGAGGGTCAGGGGGACTTAGTAAGTGCGTTAATGATAGGGACAACTAAGGTTACTATACGGTTTATAAGGGTTATTAACCTACTTACTAAGTCCCGCTGACCCTCCAAGTGGCGTGTACAGAAGAATAGATTGGAGACGCGCAGGCAGGGATTGTAAGGGTACTTCGAGCAGCGAAGTTTGAATTTTGCTGCAGTGAAGACTACTACTTCCAAGACACACGTGAGAAATCGGACTAATGAGACAAGGCATCAATCGATGGAATAAGTAGCGTATAGGAAGAACCCCAAATAGTAGCATTTACATCTCATACTTTGAGCACACGCTCGTGGAGGCGCTCGTACAGAAAGCCTTTTGTAACTGTCTGCTGCTTCTTCGCAAGCCGCAGACACGCGCACAGTTCTTTCAACCTTGTCCAACAGTTCAGTTTCAAAGTTCACTCATCATATACCCTTATTCTCTACTATAACCCCAATATATACCCTATTATCATCCAGTAGCTTCCATTCTCTTTTCCATTATCCCCATATAATCCCGTTATCTGCCCCCTTTGCAGCTCATCAGATGTGAAGTCGGCACCTAGCACACGCCGCATGTACCTGACATCAACCACAAGCATATAATATGCTAACGCATACATTGAATGTCCTTACTTTAGACCAGCTCGAAAAACGGTACCCCTATCTTTTAGTGCTAAGATGCTTTTTCCTGAGTGCCTCACGAGAACACCTTTGAACACTCCACTTTACAGCCTGTTTGATCCCACCATTCCCCAAGTGACTCATGATCAGCTTGCCACTACACTCATGTTCGACATGTTGCTGTGTAGTACAGCCGGCAGGAGCAGTATCACGACTGGCTATGCTGCTTACTTCCTCTGCAACTACTCTAAACCCTAAACCCTTTATACTCCCTATAATATCCCTATATAACCTATATAAACCCTCCTCAAACCCTTACAAGAAGTAGCAATCAATGAGAATCCCAGCGGCTCAAGGGCTGACCGTAAACTTGCCATGTCGGCACAGGTAATCACAGCTCTTCGAGACAGCAGGGAGGCACGCTCGTGCAAGTACCTTGTTTAGGGTTTAGGGTTTATAGGGTTTATAGGGTTAATAGGGTTTATAGGGTTTAGGGTTTATAGGGTCTATAGGGTTTTAGGGTTTAGGGCTGCCCTACCGTTTCAGAGCGGACTGGAGATGAGATGGCTTAGTAAGCATTAAGTTTTAGTATACAAGATTCTGGATTGTTGGAGGAGTCGCTTGAGACCTGCTCCCTTCAACCCAGCAAGTTAGGCTTCAGCTACCATCCTACGAGTTTACATCATCTGAAGGGGTCCTTTCAAATGTGTGACTGGGTGGACTCAGCTTGGTCCAGTTGGATTAGCCAAAACATGGTGGCCAGGGTGCAAATGCTCTCAAGGCTTGCAGAACGGATGAAGAGCCCCGACATTCAAGAAACAGACATGGGGGTTTCCCAAAATTGGGGATACTCTTTTGGCGGTCAACATAACAAGGGTCATAGTACTTTGGGGGTCTACTGTATATTGGGGTCCCCCCGTTGATGGAAACTACCACTTGTCTTCTTGATGGGCCCTGGTGCTCTGATACAGGTGCATGTCCCTTGAGCCTTCGTACTTGTAAGGCTCCGACCCGATTCGCAACATGACCACCATGAAGCCCACCATTGCGCAAGCACGGCGACGGCAGTACTTGCTCACCTGCCCGAAATTCAAATGAAAGGAAGCAACTGCTCGATAGACTGCGGAAGCGGAACTCTGACACCAGCTGGGAATTCGGAGTGTTGCTCGGGAACTTCTTCATGGCTAGCGTCTAGACAATCCAAGAGGATCAAAGTAGAGTGGATCCTCCCAGATTCCTCTTCTCCAGCCAATCAAAATCTAAGCAACTCAATTGGGAGTTGCATTCTTGCATTCTCGAGGATTTGGGCGCAAACTCATCTGAAACGATAGCCATTCCGTTCAGTACGCATGCATGAGCAACGGCAAAAGCACCGGAACATGTTAAATAGGAACGTCAGAGGGGAAATGGCCACTACACAGTTAGCATGAGGTAGCAGCTTGGCCTGAGGATCGCAAACGTCCCCCTTCAAAGCACAAAAGTAGTAGGCCATGCCATGCTTGATCTCTATTGAGGTGGCAAGTGCAAGCACATGTAGATTACAATGGGAAACGCACTGCAACATGCAAAGAAACTTCAGCGACTGTCATAACAATCGCGCCGCTGGAAAGCAAATGCCATGCGTTGCGGTGGTATCTACAATAGTTCCGGCGCATGGGCAGTGCCGAAGAGAGCACTGAGACCCGCTGCTGCCAGTTCCTGCGTTCTCTTTTCCTGGATCCGCCTGCCTTGCAACATCGTGCTGCTGTCTCGGGGGACTCCGACCCAGCTTGCCTGAATGAAGCTGACTGCAGACAGTAACACAGCAGCAACAGTAGCAGCAGCGACAAGCACCGAAGTGGAATCAAAAGAGGAACATTCTCAATTGCGACATACCAATGCGCACTGCTGTCTTCTGTTCTTCCTTGAGCCTGAACTGCCAACTCCAAGAAAAGCAAAACATTTTGCAAAGATACGGCACGTCTCTCCGCGCTTGCCGCTTTAACCTCAGTGTCCACAGCTGGGTTTCTTCCTTCTGACTTGGTTCCCACTGCGGTTATTGAGTGCTTAACCAGGATCATTGTCAGAATGGTAAAGCAGCTCCATGGTCTGTGACCAGTTGTCCTGCTGTTCCTGCCATACCACGTCTCCTCCTCCTCTCCCTACCACCTCCACACCAGCACCACCCCTGCCACCACCCGCCACCGCCGCCGCCACCAAAAGAACAATAGAAAGGCAGCACAAACGGCAGGAACAACAACAACAACAACAACAACAACAAGAACAAGAACAAGAACAAGAACAACAACAACAACAACCAACAACAACAACAACAACAACAAGAACAACAAGAACAACAAGAACAACAAAAACAACAACAACAACAACAACAAGAAAAACAACAACAACAACA